CACCTATTATCCAGTGTAATTAGCCGAACGCGAGAAATTATGAAAGTGTGGCAGCTTTTAGATTTTAGAGATGTCTCTCTCTCTCTCTCTCACTCTCTCTGTCTCTCTCTCTCTTGCGATAGATACGTCTTAAAAAAATGTATTTTTCATTGAATTTATTATTATTGATCATCGATCATCATTTAAGACATTTTTCTCAATTTTTTATTTGAATTAATATACGATATTTTGAACCTTGATTTTAAAAGTAAAACAAAACAAATTCATCCTATAATTAGATTTATGTTTAGCATTTTTTCATTGTCAACGTAGGAAAAATAATATAAGATTGAAAAGATTTGCCGAAGGGAAATTATTTTTTTTTTTTTTTGAAGTACTATTAACTGCTACTATTAATGATCCGAGTTGAAGGTAAAAAGAAGGAGGCCGAAATGGTATATCGTGCTAGGGCACGATAATGTTTCAAAGGTTAGGCCGAGGCCAAGAAAATATTTAGGCACGTTTCAAGTTAGTTTTTCTCGAGACTTATGAACACGCTAATAGTCCGCTTGAATTTTTTTTTTCTTTGGTTACCGAGGTCACTTCTACTACTACTACTACTACTATTAGAAGAGTGAGGTTTATAAAAGCAGCTTTAAAGTAGAACTTTCACGAAGAAACGATATATATATATATACACGTATGAAAATCATAGAAATTAATAAAAAAAAAAAAAAAAACATTGCACTTAATTTGTATAAATAAAAAAATGCTATTAATCATTTGGATTATTTTACAAGTTATTTCTTTTCTTTTCTTTTTTTTTTCTTTTCTTTTCTCTTTCATCAAGGATTTCTGGGTTTCATTTTATTCGAAGTAAATTTACATAAATTTACGGAGAAACGAGCGCAATTCGTAACAAATCGCTTTTCGCAAACTAAGGTATAACAAAGTTGCAAGCGGCTTCCTCGTATCTGTAACAACTTTGTCGTAGAACGTAGGCAAGGTCTACACTCCTCGAAAATTCGATGAACTTTCGAGGGTATCTGGACATTGAGATATTATCTAAAAGGGTCACAAACACTTTAATCACAATCTTATAATAATTTCGTATCATTTGTTTTCCTATTGAACTTTACCAATATCAATTGTAATTCATTATCAATCGATAATCTGAGTAAGTAAAATTTTTCCCTTTTTTATTATTATTATTATTATTATTATTATTATTATTTGTACGTTCTTTAATCCGAATTAATGTAAAATTCCTATTATTTGTCAGAAATGTTTCAAACTTAATCTCACTGTTCGAAATATTTAAATTCTAGTTTTATTATTTTTATATAAATTATTCTTTGTAAATTTTTATGGACAAAAAACAACCAGTTTAATTGATATAAAATAAACAACAATATTACTATAATATAATTATTATATTTTTATACTCAAATTTATTTAATTATAAATAAATAATTTTTATTATAATAAATATATATATAACTATCCTATCTTTCAAGTTGGATGAAACTGCACACAGTGTGCAAATTTTTTTATTAAAATCGGCTCAGCAGTTTAGGAGTTCATTGCGAACAAACAACGTAATTTTTATATATATATATATATGTATATATATATATTAAGATTATCTATATATTATAATAAATATAATATTAAATATAATATGTTAATTTAAAAAAAAAATAATATTATATTTATTTATTATTAATTTTATATTAAAATTCATATTAATTTTTATTCGTAAAATAAACGTTTTCAATTTATTTTCTTTTATTTTTTTTCTTTTAAATATTTAACACGTTTTAAAATAATACGCTAAAAGTTTTACGAAAGGGGTTATGCAATTGCATTTAATAGTGACTATTAATATGATTGGAAGGAAGATTGTATGTTCAGAAGAGAATGAGAATGAGAAAGAGAGAAACCGAAAGTAACGTTTCGGTTGGCTAGATTTGGATTAGCTATAATTGCCTTTCATAGCCAAAGACACTTCCTATTTGAAATTTTCCTTTGATTGCTAACCGGTGCAAAGTGTGGGTAGATAGAGAAGTTCACTCACTGTCTCGTAATTACGTCCTAATGTCTTTGCCAATTTATTGCGACAGCGGACATCATAGTATTCCCCTATTCCTATTTACATTATCCAACCAAATTCTAATTTCCTCTCTTTGAAACTTGGAATATTAAAGATTTAATATAATACTCTTATATCATGGTGAACAAAAAAAAATTTACAATTAACATTGAACATTAATTTTTTTTATTTTTAATTTATAAATTAATTTTTTTGCTATTTATTTAATTAGAAGAAAAAAAAATATACAAATGAATAAAAGAGAGAACGAGTGAGAGAGATAGAAAGAGAATATAAAAGTAAAAAGTTTTTGTAAAAAGATCATTTTTTTTTCATTGCAAACGAAATGTTGTTTTTCATTTCATATGGTGTGTAACATTTTTCTTACATTATAAAGATTTTTTGTTTTTTTTTTTTTTTATTCACACCTTGAGAGAATACGTAGAAATATTTATATCGTCCTGACAACTATCGTAGTAATAGTTAAAAGTGATATAAAGTAGAATATGTGTGACGGTGAGTGAGTGTGTACGGTGCATGTGGGTACGTGCGAATACCATAAAATACAGTCAACATTAAAAGGTCGGTTGGTAGAAGGTTATAAGATTTTACGGTGTTTGAAGTTATAGGAAAACTAGTCTGTTATTGGCACGTCGATTTTAATGTGAAATATCGTCGTTTGACGCTTTTATTCCTTTTAGGTCGACGTTAATATAATAAGATTTTGATCAATCGACCCTTTTTTACCTTATTTTTCTTATTTCGAAGGTTACCTATAGAGTATTAGAGAGAAATGATGTAATTTAATCGAAGACAAAAAAAACATTGAAAATGGTTTTAATTATATTAGAAATTATATATATAATAATATTATTATAATATTAAATAATTTCTTTTATTTATTATATATTTTTTTATTAATTTTTCATTTATATTATATATATATATATATATTAAAGTTTATATAATGTTATTTCAATTTATTTATTATTTCTTAGTTTTAAGTATTCGTAATTTTATTATATACCAGCCTATTACACAGGTAACTATATTTACCTCTTGTAGGATTTACTATGTATTAACCTTGTTATTACTATGTAAATTATTTTTTTTCTGATATAATATGAATAAAATAAAATATAAATAAAAAAATATCTTTAATTTATAGGATTGTTAATATTAGAATAATTTGTTACAAAGTTTGGTATATATATATATATATGTATATATCAAGATTTTCTTACGTTTGAAGAATTCGTATTCGGTACTTAAACGTTGAACGCGTTAAAGTTAATCGATAAAGTTTCCAGTTCTGTGGTTAATACACCGATAAACTATACCCTCTAACTCATGAACAACTTCGAATCTTGACTTTCTCAATACTCCTTCTATCGAACGTTTTGACTAGAATAATAATCCAAACGATTTTCACTTTCTTCTTTTTTTTTTTTTTTTTTTT